TCCGCTATTTTTTGGAAGCAGACCTGGCAACCCTAATGGTGCTTTGATTGGACCATGTGATGGACTTATGGGTGTTGGGCAGGGATTTGAACTTTCCTTTGGGTGGGGAAAACCTGGAAGCTTTCAGATTCGAGTTTTCCCAGATATGCCAATATGACATCACTAATAAAATATAACTTTGAGGAACTTCAGGCCTTGGAGTCTTCTTTCGTTGAGGGAGTTACTTGGAACCCTGACATCCTGACATGGGGACTCATGCAGACTGGGGAATTCTGGGAGTTGAAGTCCACACAACTTCAAGTTGCAGAGGTTGAGAAACACTGTTTTAGGGCACCAACTGTCCAAAAACGAAGTGGTGGAAGATGTTGGAAAACTTGCTATAATTTAGCAGATTAAATATCTGAAAAGCTGTTGGCTTTTATTTTAAAAGGTCAGGGCCTCCTTCCCTCTTTCTCAGATTGGAGATACGTTCACTAAAGTTCTTTAATGAAAGTCTTCCTTGAATAAATGCGCTACCCTTTGAATTATACCCTTGTTCTAGAAAGGTCAAATGCCTCTAGTCCTCCTTTATGTGTCTGCTGCTCCTACCCTGAGACCAGATTCCACGCTTGGCTCGTTTTCCATCCTTTTTGGAATTAGGAATACTGCCAAGGATTATGGCATTGAAGCCCACATGCATACTTCATACAGTATGACTGCATAGTATCCATATAAACTTAAATAAATGATCTCTATAAATACACCCTCAGTCTTGCAGAACTAAAAACTTCCGTGTCTGCCAAAATGCAAAAGGGGGAATTAGAATTAATTGGTTTCAGGATTAGCAAGATGGCTGTCCAGAAATGGAAGATGCAGCCTAGATTCTGGCTGCCAGCTGATGTTTGCCAATTGCATGTGAAACCATATACAAAACACAGATCATTTCATTTCAGGTCAACCAATCCCTCCTCGGGGAAGGATAAATAGACTCTTGACCACAAACCTCACTAATGCATAAGGCCTGTTGGCGGCAATACAGAAATGTGTGTTGCGTTTTGGTGCTGTTGGAATAAAACTGCACACAATATTTGTTCCTTTCTTCCAAACTTCATTAAATTCTAAGGGTGTTTTTAAAAGAGAATAAAAGGATATTCTACGCACTACGTTGGGCATACTTTCTTTACAATGTTGGTGTGATTGCGGCTGCGCATTTTTCTTTTTATGGGGGAAAAAAAATCATTTGTTTCTGTGCAGCAAAAAAAGTTTATGTTGAAGAGAGGATCCAGAAAATATAGTTAGGGCGGCATGTTGTTTCTTTAATCAGTTTCCAAGATAGTGCTCCGAGGTTTAATGCTCCAAGGTTATACAGGGATAATGGAATGAAATTGTCTCCTATCCTGTTCCTTCCTTTAAATAAAACCCTTCTTCAAAAATTAAAGGAGTTGCATTTTAAAAAAAAGAAAAACAAATTATTTAACTACAATCACCTTAATTTTTTTTTTCAATTCAGAGACCTTGGAAGCAGTGGTGAAATCCAAATCTTTTTTATTACCGGTTCTGTGGGCGTGGCTTGGTGGGCGTGGCAGGGGAAGGATACTGCAAAATCCCCATTCCCTCCCCACTCCTGGGGGAAGGATGTTGCAAAATCTCCATTCCCACCCCACTCTGGGGCCAGCCAGAGGTGGTATTTGCCGGTTCTCTGAACTACTTAAAATTTCCGCTACCGGCTCTCTGAACTGCTCAAAATTTTCGTTACCGGTTCTCCAGAACCTGTCAGAACCTGCTGGATTTCACCCCTGCTTGGAAGTCTTCTAGTCCAATCCCTTGCTCAAGTAGGAAACCTTATACCTTTTCTGACAAGTGGCTGTCCAGTCTCTTCTTAAAAATCTCCAGAGATGGAGCACCCACAACTTTTGGAGGCAAGCTGTTCCACTGCTTAACTGTTCTCACTGTTAAAGAAGTTTCTCCTTAATTCCAGGTTGTTTCTCTCCTTGATTAGTTTCCATCTGTTGCTTTTTGTCCTGCCCTCTGGTGCTTTGGAAAATCAAGTTGACCTCTGATTCTTGGGGAAATTGTTTTTATTTATTTTTGTGCAGTTTTGATTCCTTCTCCCAAAGCAAGGGTTATCTTCTCCGTACAATAAATAAAGAAACGAACCCCAGAGTTTACAGCTTTCAGAAAGAAAAGAACAGAAAGTTCAAAATAAGGCAGGAAGTTGCGGCTTTTTTCAACCAGCCCCAGCTCTTTCACATAAATAATTGTAACAAAATTAAGATTAAATTCCCCAGCTCTACCACCATCGCCACCAAACAGAAAAATGTAAAAGTAGTCCGCTACAAAGGGAAAACACTATTGCACAGAAAATAGTGCTGGTCGAAACATCTAATTCAGAATGTTTTTGTAGGATACTTAGGAATATTTCAACACACTTCCTTTAAGAAATTGGATATAGTTCAGAAGCAGAGCTTATCCAAGGTTATAGAGGGATACAAGGGTGAGCTGCTGGGGGTTTGAGGGGTTCAGGAGAACCTCTAGCTAAGATTCTGTGCAGTTCGGAGAACCCCCAAATCCCACTCTTGGCTGGCCCCGCCCCGCCAGAAGTCCCCACCCCTCCCCTCCCTGAAATCTCCACATGGCCCGTTTTGGATGCAGGCAAGTGCAGGGTGCACGCGGAGGCTTGGGGAGGTCGAAAAATGAGCCTACTGGAAGTTCAGGAAGGAAGGAGGGCAGTGGTGAAATATAAAATTAGTTACTACCGGTTCTGTGGGCATGGCTTGGGGTGGTGGTGGGGGTAATGTGAACTGGGTGGGCATGGCCAACTTTTTTTAAAAAACTTTTTTAAAGCATTTTTTTACAACTTATTTGGCTGAATAGGTTGTAAAAAAATGCTTTTACAAGTTAAAAAAAAAGGCTCTAACGATCACAGCTGTGGCGCATGATCATCATAGCCTTTCTTTTAACCTTTTAAAAGCAGGAAGTAATGACAGCCCGGTGGGTGGGCGGAGCCTTGCACCGCTATCGCTGCCGGTTCTCCAAACCACCTGCCACAATCATTACCGGATTTCCCAATCCGGTCCGAACCAGGAGCATTTCACACTTGAAGGAGGGCCTCCGGAGCCTGGGGAGGCCGTTTTCACCCTCTTGGAGGCTCGAGGAAAGCCTCCGGAGCCCGGGGAGGGCAAAAATACCCCCCCCCCGCTGTGGTGCAGGAGGCTGACTAGGCCACACCCCCATGGCCATGCCCCCCCCAGCAACTGGACAGAGAACCCCTTGCTAAAATTTTTGAAGCCCACCCCTGGAGGGATATCAAAAGGCTTGTCAGAGACATAAAGGTATGTGCAAGAGTACACCTGTGGTGCAAGGTGACGATGCATCCTTGCAGTGGGTTAAGAGTGATGGGACAACTAGTTAACTGAAAGACTGGTACGATTTATATTTGAGGGTAAGTTGACACAGTGTATGAATCATGTTGACATGGCACCACTTTACTAATGTAAGTGGAAAAAACAAATCATAAGCGTAGGCTGGAATCAACTGTGGGATTGTTAGCCGATGCTCCATCTTTTTCTTTCTTGATAACTTTTTTTCGTAGACAATCCAGCTTTGTCTGCAATGCAGACATGCAATGGGGCTATACAGCCTTAAAGTTCTGATTTTGGCCAGAACCTTGGAGGAACCTAATGGTATCTCAGAACTGGTTTTATTCAGAGATAAATCTGCATTACCATACGCTGTTTGGAAGCCGGTACTCTTTCTTGCAGGCAAAACAAGAAGGGAAAAGGCATACTCGTGATTACACATTCTTGCCACATCTACGCAAAGACCCATTCCTGCTCACTCAGTCAATGCCATGAAATCAAATGATGGTCACATCAATCTTTGTTCCTTGGAGTGTATCAAAACAAATGCGGTCGCCTATTCAGTGCTCCATGGAAAAGAAGAAAAGAAATAGTGATTTAAATGATTGTCTTTTTTTTCTGTTTTGTTAAGGAAAAGGAACAAAAACTGCTGGCGCATTAAATGTTCTTCTCACTACAGGTAAGAAAATGTGGACGTTAGGTGTTAAATTAGCACTGCCAGACAATCACACGTGATTCTGATTGTTAATGAAACTGCACAGAGAGGTGACAAACATACTTTATTCTTTCTGTGTGTGTGTTCAGTCCCTGATATTAATCTATCCATTTATTAAATCAAAATGGGATGTGATAATCCATGTCAGCCTTTCCCAAAATTGAATATGTTGAAAATGTTACCACTCGGATAAAATTCCTGGGAGTGTGTGTGTGTGTCAGGGGTGGATTCTAAATTTTTTTACTACCAGTTCTGTGGGCATGGCTTATTTTGTGGGCGTGGTTTGATGGTCATGTGACAATTCTTTAGATTTAGCAGAGGTATTGGTCTACCAGGCTTTTAACTGCTTACAGAGCTGTTCCGGTCTACCCATTTGTTCTTGGAGCATTCCGGTCTACTCATTTGTTTTTGGAGGCACCGGTCTACTCATTTGTTTTTGAAGGCACCAGTCTACCCATTTGTTTTTGGAGGCACTGGTCTACCCATTTGTTTTTGGAGGCACCGGTCTACCACCGCACTGCCTTTTAACACTGATCAGCTGTAGGGCGGCCCTTTGAAGCCCTGTGGCAAGAGTTTAAACAGCTTTTTCCTTCTAGCCGATCAGCTGGGACTCGGGAGGCAGTGAATAGATTGGGGGTGGGGCCAAATAAAAGGTAAGAATAACGCGACCCAAAATTGAATATGTTGAAAATGTTACCACTCGGATAAAATTCCTGGGAGTGTGTGTGTGTGTCAGGGGTGGATTCTAAATTTTTTTACTACCAGTTCTGTGGGCATGGCTTATTTTGTGGGCGTGGTTTGATGGTCATGTGACAATTCTTTAGATTTAGCAGAGGTATTGGTCTACCAGGCTTTTAACTGCTTACAGAGAGCTGTTCCGGTCTACCCATTTGTTCTTGGAGCATTCCGGTCTACTCATTTGTTTTTGGAGGCACCGTCTACTCATTTGTTTTTGAAGGCACCAGTCTACCCATTTGTTTTTGGAGGCACTGGTCTACCCATTTGTTTTTGGAGGCACCGGTCTACCACCGCACTGCCTTTTAACACTGATCAGCTGTAGGGCGGCCCTTTGAAGCCCTGTGGCAAGAGTTTAAACAGCTTTTTCCTTCTAGCCGATCAGCTGGGACTCGGGAGGCAGTGAATAGATTGGGGGTGGGGCCAAATAAAAGGTAAGAATAACGCGAGGGGGGGGAGGGCCCAGCTCCCGAACAAAGAGAACCGGTTCGGTGACGTCATATCGTCACTGCCACCGGCTCGGCCGAACCGGGCCGAACCGGGAGGAACCCACCACTGGTGTATGTGTGTGTGTTGGCCTCCACCCAGGTTCAGAGAAAACCAGATTGAATTGCCCCCAAGTGGATACTTTGTTTTTTTGGCCATCAAGATCCTGATATGGCTTCCATTGTGGGATGAAATACCAAATTCCCAGTCAGGAATTATACTTTCTACCATGTTAATAAGTGCTTTGATGAACAGCTAAATGAAATTCATTAGATGTTTCCTGCAGGATCCAGCACTGGAAATTAGTCGGAGGAATTTCAGAGAGGGGCAACCAGAGGTCCTTTTTCTGTTTCTGTTATTTTTGCTGCCTTCCTCTTGACCAAGTCCAGCTGCTCTTTTCTCCCTTCCAAGATTTCCTCTTTCTGCTTCAACAAATGTGGCTTGGAAGAATCCATTTCCCCAGAAATTACAGAAGGGAAATGCTGGCAATTTCCAACATCACATTGAAGGACAGAAACAATTATAGGGATGAAGGAGAAAAACACAATTAAAGCCACCGCTTTCTTTCATTGGATGAGAAAGCACTTTAGTGTCCCAGACACCAGATGAAGGTCGGTGCGATTGATTCAGAGATAAGTAAGAAAAGCAGATGAAAGACTTGAAAAAAGAAAGGCTAATGGACGGCACAGCAACTAATGGCGTAAGTGAAGTTCTCTGTCCACAGATGTAGGATGACTATTGTTCCAGTCTCTTTCTCTTAGAATATTTCATTGCTTGTTTGCTTTAAATCTCTCAAAGCACTGAGTGAGTTAGGATAGAAACAAATACTAAGTGCATAAAACTGTGTGTGGCCCAAAGTCTCCTTACAGGTAGAGCCACCTCTGTTCTATGCCATGCATCTCTCTTATCCAGTCACACCTCCTCCATTTAAACAAGGCCTCAATTTATCCGAGGATTTTAGGGGAAACGTGTACAAAACACGCTCTGTCTACACATGAAGCAGTCAGCTTTCTCGCTCTTTCAGTTGTGCTAAATAAGTTTCTTTCCTTCCCTTCCCAAATATCTGGCTGACAGATTCTTTAAGGCTGCCTTAGATGAGATCAGTGCAACGTTCTGCTTCTCTCACAGGTTCTCTGCAAGTCAAGAAGCCCATGTTTTTTTTTTCTTCTTCCAAGTGATAAATTTATTTTAAATATAAAACATTCACTCTCTTTGGATGTTTGGTGAAGGTGAGAGACGACATCTCGGACAGAAAGCATGTGGACATGAGGTAGGGAAACTGGGACGCAGGGTTTAATCCTCCACTCTGCATTAGATTCAGAATCTTTCCTTGTGCTAGTGTTGTGATCCCATTATAATCCACCTGGAAGTGTCAAATATACCAGCAAGTGATGCTTGTTCCCAGATAAAGCCAAAAGTTCTTTGCTTAAGTGCTCAAGACTTTCTCAATTCAAAGAACGCTATGATTGGGGAAAAAATAATAATCCACCAATGATGGCAACCTTTACGTGATCCAGAAGTTCCTCCTCTCTTCTAGCAAGCTGATGGATCTGTTTGTAAGAGTCTCAGCGCTGTTGGCCAACTTGTAGCCAAACAGCTTCATGGCTGGTGTGCAGATGTTCTGGACCACCTGGGCAAGTTTGAAGGGGATGCTGAATCGCCATTTCTCAAATTGTTCAGAGGAGTTTTTCTGGGTGGAGTAGATGTCATTGCTATCTTGAGGGGCCTGTGTATTTTTCAGGATCCAGTCCTCCACCTGCGTGGTGAGAGCGATGCCGGTGAATTTATACATTTCCTTGGCTTTCTGGAGAGGGGATCTGGCAATATCCTCATAGCGGACCAGCATGTAGCGACCCTGAAGCCATGCTGGCTGCTTTAAACCAAGTTCAGCCGAGAGTCGGATGCTTTCACAGTTGCCTCGCAATCTGTGGACTTCATCCTCATTAAGGGTTGCTACACCTTCATTAGCCCATTTCTTCCAGGTTTCATACTTACCTGAAAAAGCCACCATGCGGGAGGCCAGCACTGCCCGAGGATCTCGCACCAACTGAATTATCCTCAAATCCAGGCGGGGATCTTCGACTAATGGACGCAAGAATTCCAGCTGTCGAATTCGGACAGCCTTAAGGGCCATGTGTTCCTTCTGCAGGCAGGCCTCCACTGCCAAAGTCACATTCAGGGGGCCACAGCGGCGGTTCTTGCAGTGGTACTTCTCAAAGACCTTCTTGACAAAGGGCGTGCAAACAGGGTCCTCGCACAAAGAGCGACTTGAACCCCGCCGAAAGAGAAACTGAGTCAGGTGATCCTCAGGGAATGGGATGATGAAGTTTTCCAAAATGTAAAGGTCGCAGAGGAACAGCTGCTTCAAAACATCTCTGTAGACAAGGGCCGATCCCACCGCATTAGCGCCACCCGATTCGAAAGACACCGTCTTCTCTACATGCCACAGCGGTTCAAAGAGGTAGAAAATGTTGCCCTGCTGGTTGAAAAATTCCCCTACAAAGGAAGAGCCGGTACGGGTGGTGGCCATGAGGAGAACATGTTTCCGTGTCCTTTGAGTGGGGGCCAGCAGAGTGCCACCAAGCTGCAAAGTGATGTTCTGCAACCGGTGTTTAAGCTGGGAGAAGGCCAGGTCCAGTGCGCTGAGTGACAAGAGGGAGCCATTCTCTGGCAGCATCAACCCAGAATCAGTGCTGTTGGCTTCTGGCAGAGACAGTGGAGACTGCTTCAGTTTGTCTGAAACCCTGTAAAGAGAAAGAATACAATCATCAGGGCCAAGAACAGCAGTGATATTTAAAGCGACCGGTAAGATCCCACAGAGTTGGTCTCCTCCGGGTCCCGTCATCTAAACAATGCCGGCTGGCGGGCCCGCAGGGGAGGGCCTTCTTTGTGGCTGCCCCAGCTCTCTGGAACCAGTTACCTCTTGAGATCCGGACTACCCCCACCCTATTGGCCTTCCGGAAAGCGGTGAAGACCTGGCTTTTCTGGCAGGCCTGGGGCCGTTGATCTCGCTGTTGCAATCTTATGAGATCCGGCCATGAATGGTGTGCATGGGCTTTTAATGTTTTTAAAATGTTTTTATAATGTTTTTAAATAATTTTTCTATGTTCATTGTTTGCATTATTTTTGCTGTAAGCCGCCCAGAGTCCCTTGGGAGTTGGGCGGCATAGAAATGCAATAAATTAAATTAAATTAAATTAATTAAATTAAATTAAATTAAATTAAATTAATTATTAAATTAAATTAAATTAAATTAATTATTAAATTAAATTAATTAAATTAAATTAAATTAAATTAAATTAAATTAAATTAAATTAAATTAAATTAAATTAAAAGCAGGCATGTTAGTCTGAGATGGATAGAATGGGTTTCTTAATCCAAGCCAGCTGCATCAAGTGCCAAAATGGGGGACACGCATGCATGCAGGTGTGCTGGAAACCAGAAGAGCAGTCGCCCAGCACACATGCGTGCGCTGGGAAGATGATTTTCCATTTTCCGGCGCACGCCTGCGCATTGACCAGCTGGTCTTTGCGCGTGCATGCACACCAGAAACCAGAAGACCAAGTGGCCGGTGCGCATGCGTGCATTCGAAACTGGAAGATCATCTTCCCGGCATGCGCATGCACATCAGGCAGCTGCTCTTCCGGTTTCCGGCATGCACATGCGCATGTGCACCCTCCCGTTTCAGCACTCCGTGCTGAAAAGGTTCGCCAACACTGTCCTAGAGTTGGATTGGTGTTTCTCAACCTTGGCTATTTTAAGATATGTGCACTTCCATTCCAAGAAATCCCCAACCAGCATGCTGGTTGCGGAATTCTGGGAGTTGAAGTCTACACATCTTAAGGTTACCAAGGTTGAGAAACAGTGATCTGAGGATCACATTCATCCCTTCTATATCCAGGAATTCAATTAGTGAGGATAGGTAGTGCTATCCCCTGGAAAGTAATCTACGGTTGGCTTTGGAATCCAAATCAAAAGCCAAGACTTTGGCAAGAAAATGCAGACTGAATGTGGTTTCTCTAATTTTTTGGCCTTGTAACTGTACTATTCCTTAATACAGTTGATGATTAGTGAGCAAGTGCTTGTGTACATATAAAATACATTGGAAACACACAGCTTGGGCCTCACCAATATACTGTACGCATTGAATTTGGAGCTGGGAGTCTATCAAGGTCCACAGCAAGTGAAGGGGCAAACAATTCTTTAATTTCAATAAAAGGCCATACAATATTGATTTGGTCCTTATACTGTTTGAGTTCTCTGAACCTGGATTCTGTTTTTTGCAAAATAGTGGTTCAAAGGATTATCAAGGAAATAGATCTTGTCCACAGGAGGTCTTAGCTGGGACACAAAATTGGCCGTAGGACTCAACGGTTGTGCTGATTTTCTCAGGATCTCAAATGAACCTTAGCAAAGTCCATCATCCTTGTCCTGAGCCTGGTGGAAAAGTAACTAAAAGTGTCCGTCTAACTCAGTATTTTTCAATCTTGGCAACCTTCCTGGCTGGGGAATTCTGGGAATTGAAGTCCACACATCTTAAAGTTGCCAAGATTGAGAAACACTGGCTTAAGATGTTTCACTTATATTAAGATGGCTCTTATCACAATGAACGTGGCCCAGATCACACATTAAATTCAATATATTTAATGTCAGGGTTCCCACAGATGCCCTAATTAAACCATGAATCTCAAGCCAATCTTCAAAAGAAATCCAGATATTTATTAGGAGCTTCCTGTCTGCACGTTCCCAAATGAAGCCAGCTCTGACCCTACGTAATTTACGCTCCAATTATGACTCTGTTTCCCCCCTCCCCCAGGGTATGTCATCAATCACATTCGCCAACAGAGTGATTTCACGAGTTTTAGAGGTCACTCCCCTTCGACTGCTGTAAGTATCCCTGGGATACAGCCTTGAGGGAGATAAGTGTGGAATGTGCATCTGTTTTTGGCTGCTGTGCAGTTTTGCCAGTTTCCCAATCCCCCCTGGCCTATGGCAACTCGAGAGCAGGCCAGGGATGCTTTGCAAGTTGACATTTAACATACTGCTAAACAAAAGAGATAGCAACAAATTGTTGCTTTTAATAGGATCGTATAGTACCTAATTCTTCAGCTGAAATTTGATATGCTCTCAAAGGATCCTGGCAACATTTTAAAACATTCTGAAGCTTTCCAATCCTGTTTGTATGCAATGATGACTGCCATTCTAGATGACTGCCCTGCACGGACCAGCTGTAGCCTTATAAACTGATTCTTAATGTATGTCAGTATGGTAGTAGCAAGAAAGTATGAAAATACTTTTCCTATACTTACTTGTAATTAGAATATATTAATTATTATTGCCTCTGATCGTATAAATATCCTAAACATTCAGACCTGGTACCATAAATGATTTACCACAATGCCTCCAAGTTTTAGTAATTTGGAAGCTCAATGTAAAGTTTGAAGGGCCTGTCTACACGTAGCCCTAGATTAACATTGCAGGTAGATTCCTGCCAAATTAGACAATAAAATGATGTATTCACTCATAGAACCTGAACAAAAAAGTAAAGATATACAGTACATAGAAAAATAATGTAAATACTTACAAGTTTTTGTCTTTAAAAAGCAATCAATTACTTCTTCAGGTAAAGACTTGTAATGTCTAACCTAGGTAACTTAAAAGGTAAAGGTTCCCCTCGCACATATGTGCTAGTCGTTCCCGACTCTTGGGGGCGGTGCTCATCTCCGTTTCTAAGCTGAAGAGCCAGCACTGTCCAAAGACGTCTCCGTGGTCATGTGGCCGGCATGACTAAATGCCAAAGGCGCACGGAACGCTGTTCCCTTCCCACCAAAGGTGGTCCCTATTTTTCTACTTGCATTTTTTACGTGCTTTCGAACTGCTAGGTTGGCAGAAGCTGGGACAAGTAACGGGAGCTCACTCCGTTACGTGGCACTAGGGATTCGAACTGCTGAACTGCCAACCTTCTGATCGACAAGCCCAGAGTCTTAGCCACTGAGCCACCGTGTCCCTGTTCGTGAATAAAGATGCAACTTAATTCAGACTGGGAAATGTTAATATTTACCTGGTTCCAAAAGACTGGTGAACTGGTGGTAGCAAGTTGGGACTGGCAAGCTCGGTAAGATACAATGTGCAGCCTGAAGGCCAGAGAAGAAGACCAAGAAAGCCTCTTTTCCAGCACAGCCTCTTTTCCTTCCCCTCCTACCTTGAGATGATGTTGTTCTCCTTCTCAATTATGACAAGGGCTACCACAAAGACCAGAAGAACGGCGTACTTGCTCTTCATCCTCAGGCGGTGAAGTAGTTCCCAGATATCTTGAGACAAGGTGAGAATTTTATCCATGGGAAAAGAATGTATTTTTCAAGAGCCTGCCAGCGAAAATTTCCTCACAGAGGGAAAATGAAACTTTCCTTGTGAGGAAAGTTTTTCGGCGGTATGGAAAGCGGTGTCTGGGATTAGTTTATCTTCTTCAGGAGATGTTGTCCTGCAGAAAGAAAGAGAAGATAGAATGACTTGAACATCTTCCCTTTAGGCTGAGGGACAAAATAAATGCACATAGATTCAAGCCTTTCCTTGGATAATTGCTGGCCTCACACATTATGGTAAGCTGTGATTTGGAAGGGACCTTATACAGTAGGTCTTCTAGTGCAACCCCCTGCTCATGCATTTTGGACAAAATGGCTGCCCATTCTCTACTTGAAAACCTCCAGTAATGGAGGATCGTTAACTTCTAGAGGCAAGCTATTCAACTGAATAATTATTCTGTCAGGAATTTTTTTTTTAGATCTAGGTTGGATCTCTCTTTAATGATCTTCCATCTCTTATGTCTTGTCCTGTTCTCAGATGCTTTGGAGAATAGGTCGACCCCATCTTCTCGGTGTCAGTCCCTCAAGTACTAGATATCACTCTTAGTCTTTCTCTTCATTAGACTAGACAAAAGACGGAGTTCCCTCAATCATTCACTGTATAGTTTAGCCTCCAGAGCCCCAATCATCTTTGTTGCTCTTCTCTGCACCCTTTTTAGGGTATCAGTATCTTTTTTGTATCGTGGTGACCAGAACTGGACGCAGTATTCCACGTGTGCTCTCACCAGTGCAGTATTTAGTGGTACTATGTGTCAGGGTTCCAAGTAACACCCCCAACGAAAGAAGACTCTGAGGCTAGAAATTCCTCAAAGTTCCATTTTATTGGCACATCTGGGAAAACCCGAATCTGAAAGCTTCCAGGTTTTCCCCACCCATAGGAAAGTTCAAGTTCCTGCCCAACACCCACAGGCCCATCACATGGTCCAATCAATGCACCGTCCCAACTGGAGATGCCTCCCAGTCACGCCATCCCAGGTGCGGGGCAAGATGTCCTTGACTCTCTGAGAAAGGAATGTTATTATGGCTAGATATCTCCCCTACTCCATAAATTCCCCCTCCCAGTTTCCCACAGCACTAAATGTGGCAGGCCTTGAAGATCCAATGCAAAAGATGGCTTCCAGGCCTGACACTATGACTATGAAACTATCCCTGTGATCATATGTTCACTGATTTACAGGGGCAGAGTTCACACTGTCAGGTCACAAACCATGCCTTATGTAACATAAGGGCTGCTGGTGTGACACAGTATGCTAAGCCACAAACCAACCACATTTTGACTTAGTATAATGCATATATCTGAACTTCTGGGTGCAGAAAAAGTGGTCTTGTCTAGGATTTCATTTTGAAGATGTCTGTAGATCATGTCTATTGATTTAGGCGTCTATCCAAAAAAATACAATTTTATTTCTTTGCAATTCAGAGTTAAGCAGCATAAAACAACAAAACCAAAATACAGGTAGTCCTTGAGTTATGACCATAATGGAGCCTGCCCATCCTGGTCATAAGTCAGATCACCTCATACGATCAACCTGATTTTGCAACTTTTTTCACAGCATCATTATGCAAATGCTGCCGTTGTTAAGCAAACAACGTGGTCATGAAGTGAACCCAGGGTTTGCTACATGGTGTTTTTACAAACACCAGCATTTATTTCTGGTTTTTTTTATTTTGTGGTTTGTTTTTTTTGGCAAAAACATCATAAAACATGGTCATTGTAAAGGCAGGCTGCTGCAAACAGCTGTAAATGCAGGTCAGTTGCTGAGTGCCCCCAAGTGCAACTGGATGAGGCAGGGTTGCCAGAACTTTGAATCTGGGTTATAAATACACCCAGAGAGATCGGTCATAATTTCAAACAGTCACTAAGCGAATGGTCATAAGTCAAGGACTACTTGTATGCCACCCTTGCTGGCTAAACAGGTTGTCAAATTGTTCTCCTTACATTAAAAACATCCCTCTTGCATAGAGAAAATTAGCTTATCAAAAACATTTAGCCCACACTTTTCCCTCATGTGTTTATTATTTTATAGATATAAGGTAAAGATAAAGGTTCTCCTCGCACATATGTGCTAGTTGTTCCCAACTCTAGGGGACGGTGCTCATCTCCGTTTCAAAGCCGAAGAGCCAGCACTGTCCGAAGACGTCTCCGTGGTCATGTGGCCGGCACGACTAAACACCAAAGGCACACACAACGCTGTTACCTTCCCACCAAAGGTGGTCCCTATTTTTCTACTTGCATTTTTTACGTGCTTTCGAACTGCTAGGTTGGCAGAAGCTGGGACAAGTAACGGGAGCTCACCCCGTTACGCAGCGCTAGGGATTCAAACCGCTGAACTGCCGACCTTTCAAATCGACAAGCTCAGCATCTTAGCCACTGAGCTACTGTGTCACCCTTTATAGGTATAGTTTTTTTAAAATATGTCTGAACATTACAGCAGTGCAATAATACTTAGAGCTGTAACCTGATCCTCTTTGTTTTCCTCCCTGTTCTGTCTTTTGGGAGACTGTTTTCCCCATTACTTTTCTGAGAATCAAAGCTCTGGCTGATAAAATTCATTAGGCGTGATAAAGCCCCCATTAATTAAGACAACGGTGCACACTTTAGCAATTACATATTTCAGATCTTCCGCAAGCTGCTCTCAACTATTTGTGAAAGGAGCTCATTTTTTTTTTCTCCCTCAGGCTTTCAGGCAACCTGAAAAGAAAAAAAGAAAAAAAGGATGCTGCTGCTATAAAAATCAAATTGCCTTCAGATCATCTTTCATTAAAGCAGCTGCCAGAATGGAGAAACAGGCACTATCACATGTCAGAAGAACCAATGCAGGTCCAGCATATTTGACAACTGAGACCAACTTTTAAAAGAAGCAAAAGAAAGCAAACTGATTCTTGTTAGCTAGGTTAATTAGCATCTTTAAAGGGGGGGAAAAAAGATCAATCCTAAGAATATTAAACTTGCTATCTTGCCAAAGAGACACAATGAGCTAGTAATTACCTTCCAGGGGGCATTTTGTTCCAACAAACTCAAGAGTGCAGTGAAAGCTTTTGTGCCTATATAGCCAAAATCGCTCCTCCCAGGATTTAACACTTACTTGATGGAAGGCTTAAAGAGACAGCCTTCTAATGGGGACAATATATAAGCTGAAAAGTTGGCATATTGAAAATGAAGACACATGCCCTTGAAAACGCCAAGCAGTCCCCCCCCCCCACAAGAGCTCTGACTCCATGGGACTGGATTTCTCAAATTCTTCATTAGGAGTAGATCTTAGTCTAGAGGTGGGCAACTATGGTCATAACCTGTGGACTCCCAGAACTCCTGAGCCAGCTGGCCTGTTTGTACATGGCTGGCTCAGGAATTCTGCAAGTTGAAGTCCACAGATTGTAAAGGGGCCATAGTTGCCCAACTCATCTTAGTCCTTTGATTTGTTAAACTGTGACACTGGCTTAACCTAGCTGAGATCTTCAAACTTGGTAGCTTTAAGACTTGTGGACTTCAACTCCCAGAATTCTCCAGCCAGCATTCCTTGAAACTCTAATCCACTTAAAGTTTAGCTATTTTTACTTTGCCAATATTAACACTTTTTAGATATTTGTCATTTTACATGTTATCCTATTTAATATAATTGTAGTATTTACATGATTATTTAATATAGGCTGTACCCTGGATCTCACTTATACTGTAGATGTTAGTTAGCTTGTTTTATCAATGCATTTTAACTCTGTCTTAAATTCTATTTTATTTATTATCCATGCTGGTCTTTGACCACACAATAAATTGAAGTGAAATTGCACAATACTAGTGCCTGCAATTAAATAAGTCTTGCTTTCTTGAATTGAACATGGGGCTCAGGGTGCTTTGAACAAAGGGTTTGTGTATCAGTTATGTTTCATTGTAATTTCACCAGTATCTATATTTCCTCAACACACTAATCCATAATTAATTAAAACTACGGGGGTTACATTCAGAAAAGTACTGAACTGGATACTTACATGCGCAGAGCTACAAACTGTTCATCACATTTTGGCCAATATCAAAAGTGGGATTCAGCAGGTTCTGACCAGTTCTGGAGAACCGGTAGTGGAAATTTTGAGTAGTTCGGAGAACTGGTAAATACCACCTGTGACTGGCCCCGCCCCCATCTATTCTCTGCCTCCGGAGTCCCAGCTGATCAGGAGGAAATGGGGATTTTGCAGTATCCTTCCCCTGGAGTGGGGAGGGAATGGAGATTTTACAGTATCCTTCCCCTGCCATACCCAGAGAACCGGTAGTAAAAAAATTTGAATCCCACCACTGCCTAGTATGTTGAGTGAAACAACTAGTACTCTAAAATTTTATTGCTGGTGTTTGTACAAAATCCCATCCTAATTTAATTCCATAGTTTTAACCAGCAGTTTTTAAGCCCCAAATATAGATTTAATGGGAATTACAGAGTGATATATTGTAAGAGTTACCCTGTGGTAAGATGAGCGGCCAATAAATATAATCAATCAATAAAATAAATAAATAAATATAGTATTAGTACTAACAGTAAGTTATTTTTTTCTTAATTAAGAGGTATAGTACTAGTAGAAATGAACATACTGTTTTATTTTGTTATTTGGCTGCATTCATATTCAAGCATAATGTTTCTATAACTGTTCTTCAGTGAGTATTTTGTTCTAATCAAATAATGGACTTTAGTGTGCTAGTCCAGGGGTCTCCAACCTTGTGGAGTCTCCAACTCCTGTGCCAGTCAATGAGTAAAATAAAGATCTGATTTGATGAACCAGGGAGGCAGAGCCTTGGAGTGCAAACATTTTCTTCATTGTGTGTCATTTCTTGCCTCAAGATGCTTTGTTTTTTACAGACAGAATTGCTCAGATTCACCTCCAGTGTTAAGCAAGTCACAGAGAGATTACCTTGACAGTCACTTGCCCCTGCATGCTCAAAATGGCCACTATTTATATGGGGGTGGAGGGAATACGCCATTAAACCAGAAGACTCAAATATCATCCGTGTTCAAGATGATTGAGAAAGAAGAGACCTCACAATTCTAGGTGCATTTGGATGAAACAGATTTCCTGGGTGTCAGACCTGGAAGCCATCTTTTACGGTTGGGCTTCAAGCCTGCCACGTTTTCTACTG